TTGACCCTGCTTCGGCAGGCGGATTGGACCAGATGATCCCCAGAAGTCCCTTCCAACCCCTACCGTTCTGTGATTCTATGATTCTGTGAAATTTTGAACATTTGTCGATGTAATTCTTTACCTACACGTTGCTGATGATGCTGAAAGTTTCCTGCATGGTCTTTAAGTTATAGCAAATATAACAGAGGCAATGAGTCAAATATACAAGAGTTAAAGCAAGGCTTACCTTGTTGCGGGAAGGGTACTGACACGTGTAAAGAAAACAGACGGCTCTACTTCTATGTGCAGGCCTAGTGAAAGGTTCCTGTAGTATCCTTCAACATGTCCTGGTCCACCAGAGTACTTAAAATTCAAAATGGCTTCCAGTGTCTAGAGAAAGAATAGTAAATTACTTCTTAGCTATGTTTCATTACTGTGCATTTCACAGGTTCAATTAAATTCAACCACAGAAGTGACTGACCAACAAAGTTTCCATGCCCTCAAGAATAACCCATCCACTCTGTTGTCTCAAGAAGAAAAAGCAACCTAACAAATAACTGCATCTTATGTAAACAGTTGCTTTTTTTTCCTAACCCTTTCAAAAGCTAAAGGGTACAGAACACAGTCAGCTGGACTTCCCTGTACCTAATTCCTCTCCACATGACATTTAACATAGAAAAAATGAAGAGTTTATTTTTAACATTTTTGAGTGCAGACAGGTAAAGATTACACAAAACTAAAAGCATCTGGTCTCTTAACAAGTCATCGTAAACATATGCTCATCTCCATCAACTAACAGATTACAAGAACACTGTTGGCTAGATCTAGTAAATGAACCTTGTCTGTCTTTCATGTTCATTTTCCAGGACATTATTGGTTAGCAAATACTAAAAATGAGGATGTTTCTCTAGCGTTAGTCTTATGCACTCATTACTCTCAGAGGAGCTGAGCCTTCACTTCCGTGAGGAAATTCTGGGCTTTTTGTCATTTTCTGTAATGAACAGCATGGGGGAAGCTTCCCAGCACACCAGTCCCCACATCATCATCAGTGTTCAAGCTCAGAATAAACCTTTGATTCATCCAAAGACACTATACACCACCTTTTCTTTCATTACATCCGTGAAAAAATAATTTGCTGGAAGCAAGGCAAGTATTTGGGAAGTGTCCCTGGATTTTTTTTTTGTCAGCTCTTCTTCTGGTTCCCAGGCACCTCCTGTTGCCAAGCCTCAGAGCAAGGACAGAGGCCGAGACAGATCCCTACCCTGAGATGGACATCACCATATTATGCTGAAGCTTATGACTAGAAGGCCAGTTGTTTCTCAAAAAGATTTAGAAACAACGTCTGTCTCCTCTTTGAGTAGCTTTTAGCTCATTCTTTTAGAAAAAGAAAAAAAAAAACAAACCCTAAAACTCAAATCAACTTATAACCATTTATAATTACCAGATGTCATCAATCCTCAGATAGTTAGAAGTACTTTCCCTTTCTATTGAAGATTTACAAAACATTTCATGAAACCTGATGATTTTTTTCATAAGCTCTAAGGAACAATCTAAGGTTTTTCTAACTTACAAAAAACATTCATGTTTCCAAGTCTGGCTGAAGGAACAGAAATACTGGGACACTCGATTTCTTAAAATAACCACAATTCAGTGATTTAAAAAATATAAAAATCAAGAGTTTAATTTTTTGCTGCTTCTGCACACTTAAATGTTTTGCCTATTTCCAGCTTGCTTTTAAGTAAAGTGGGCTAACTCCAATTCCTAATTTAGTGTCATTAAAATTCATGAGAGTCACCTTATGGTCCAAATAAAAACCTTCACTGGGCACTGTGGACATACCCATCTACTCTGTTTATGTCAATTCCTAATTTGTAGTTAATAAACTCCAGTTTATGTTATGTCAGGAGAGCTAATCAATATCCAATATAAAAATAAAAAAGCACAAACCCATTGAAAACATACTTTATTCTAATTAACCAGCTGGACCATTTAATAAAAATCTGAGCTAGACTCCGCAAGTCCAGGCATCTGACACTACTTCCATCGTAATGTGAGAATGGCCTTCAGTTTCAGTTAGGCGATCTGTGACAACTCTAGCGGTGTATGTTCTGTGTTATTGCTGTAATATTCAGTATCCTGCTCAGGAAAGCTACTGTGGTACAGATCCATGGTTCATTCTACACAGGAACATGGCACAAGGCTGCTTTATGAAACCCAGTCCCATATAATTCCAGATAAACATGTAATAAACATCAGTTCGAAAGGTCACGGAGCATTATCATTCCACATGCAAAACTATTCCTAACATCCTACACCAAACGAAAAACCTCCAGAAAAAGGCTAAAAAATACAATCATTATGTGCCATTGACAAGCAGGAGAGCTTAAGGGCATTGTCATCATCTTGGTCCCCATCACAGTGAGCAATTTGTCACAGCAGACTTGCTGATGACCCTGTGTGCGTCCCACAGCCCATGCTAGGGAACAGGGAAAAGGAAACCTAATGGTCTTCTCTTAATCTGAACAACAGGAGGACATCTCTGCTCACCCAAAACATAAGATCTAACCGGGGACATTTTATACTGGGGACACCAGAGATTCCTAAGATCTCCGAGAACCTCAGAACACCCAAACCTATATTCATTCTCCAGCCATGACAATTTGCAGGCTCCCTAGGAACGTACACACACGCACAAAGAGGAAACATCAGGCAGACCTTACATCAGGAGTGTAGATGTCTGTGTAGGGTGAGAGCGTCACTGAAAGAAATCATTTTTTCAGGAGCCTTCAGGTGATCAGAGCAAGCTTTATTGCTTGGGATTCATAGAATATGAACAGGATGTAAAAAGAAAAAGCAAATTCAATCTCCTTTAAACCCCTCTATGCACACGTACCTTGGAAAGGACTCCACACACAATATGAAAGATTGATTCTTTATCTCTAAGATAGAAAAAAAAATCCTACACTTTCATAAGCTTAAAAATTCCAATTTAAAACAATTTACCATTCTTTCTCAGAGTACCTGCAGAGAAGAACGGTCCAAATGCTACAGCCTCTGACTTAAATAATGTTGTATACTTACTGCAGCGGCCTTGTCAACCTACACAAATCACGGACTGAGCTGCAGATTCTATTCATCTTCACAAACACCAACAGAATTTATGAGATTTGTCCAAACTGCATCAATGCAGACCAAAGAGAAAAGGCAGGGTGTCACTACGAACATAATTTTGCCTGTAGATGATCAATGAAGAAGAAAAGGAAGGAAGGACGGAGCACACCGGCCTCTCAGGGCAGGCAGCCAGGAAAAGCAGCCTATTGTTAACTGAATACGTGTGGAAATCAGAATATCTATGGACCAGGTCGGGGGGGGATATATATATATATTTTTTAAAGCAGAATTGCATTCTGGAAACTCAATAGTAAAAATACAGATGAACTATTCAACCTGTATGACGACCTTGGCTTGATAATTTTTTTACTATTTCATTGGTCCTTGATTCTATTGATGAAGAAAAGGAAATGAAAGTGTTTCTGAGTGTAAGTTCCAGATGACAACACTCTTAACCAGCGGCACCAGACATTAATACCACCTACGATACTGACAAGAAATACGTTACAGATGAATGATCAAAAAATTACCATTTTGGTTTCTCTCACGCATTTTGTCCTCAAATACATTTTCTGCATAGAGTAGGAAGCAGATTTTATTTTAAAAATCATTCTCTCCGGTAAGCTCACGGAAATCCTTCCCATATTCACTTTCATAACAGAATTAATAGTAAGATTAGACCAGATCTGTTATTTGAATAACACTACGCCACTACAGAAAAGCAAAGCATTTGGCGTTAAAGTTTCCCAACTAAATGGCAACAGTTCTTACCCTTCTGCCAGTCCTGCAATAGTGACTCTGTCTGAGCAGTAAAACCTTCCAGACACGGATTTTTAATTGCCAATTGAAACAATTATAATGTACAACTCAGATCAATTATTTCTACTGAACTACTACTATAGCACTTCCTACCCAGAAGTAAAATCTAAAGAGAATTTCCACATAATTCTACAGAATATTACTACTTACACAGAAGCTAGAACATTAGTGATTGAGAACAGATCTCCCCAAAACAGTTAATGACACAAGAAAGATAGAAAAGAACGGGGAAAGAGCAGTGATGAAGAGGATTTCTGGTGCTGGAAAGTTGCAATATTGTGCTCAGTTCTTTCCGTATGCTTGTTCTCAAGTAAGGGGGTTGATTGACTACCAGAGTCCAGAAGATCAACCCCAAAAAAGCGGTTGGAAGTTACACGTAGCGAAGAACACTATTTTAGCTCAAAAAATTGGCTAGACCAAGAGTATAACTGAAGGATATAAGAATCCACCTGCAGAGATGTAATCATTATATGCAGTACGTAAAGGAAAATGAACATTCCACATAGCAATACAAAAGATGAACTTTATTAAATATTAGCAACTCTCATAATTTGACTGTTTTTTTAAGAAAAAAATCTTTCCACAGATGAAAAACATTAAAAGAGTCATTTTCTTTTAAAAAACAGGGATAATTACTGAGCAGCAACATTAGATATAATCAACAAAAAAACTACCAACAATAAGAATGATATACACAGCAGGTGAATTAGTAGTCAGGAAACTCAAATTTACAGTGATACATCGTTAATGAGTGAACAATCAATAAAGTGTTCATATACGTTCCTCCTTACAGCTGAAAAACACTTCAGTGCATCTAAATTTTTGCTTTGGTAAAATTTACAAAGTTTGAAACAGTTCAGGTCAGAAGCTCTGGGGTTTAATTCTTACGTCATCCGTTTTGCTTAGTAGATTTGTTTCTTTATTGTTTGTTTCTTTTTTCCTCGGCAATTTTACTAGTAATAGCAATAACTCTGATTTTATCCCTGTGCGTATCTTGCTACTGGAAGAACCAAAAGATTCTGGTTTACACTATTTCTTCTTAGAGTATGGCAGCATCCCACATACTGCATTTAGTGCTTCAGAGAGCAAAGCAAGATTTTGTTAGCCATTTTATCCCAAACTGCAACATTATTTTTTTGCAATATTTATTATCTGTGTTTTCCATAACTAAAATAACCAATCATACTTCGTAAGAAAGGCTCACATACGCTGCATTTTGAGGTCTTTTCTGAATTTCCTCAGTATAGTAAAAATGACACTAAGTAGATCCCAACATTTAATACAAGATGAAATGCCAGCACTTAGCTACATGCAGTTCGCTCCCGAGACTCCTCAGATACTGTCTGCAATAACCATTAAGAAATGCCAGAACACACTATTGCAGGCTCCCCACTAAGGCATAACATTACAAGAAAAGAAAAAAAAGCAGCAGCATGAAGACCAGACTAAAAATACATAAA